AAATATGAGATGGATTGTGCAATATATTTAGCAAAACTAGCTTTTCTTGGTATTTAATCAGATCGTGTATTAAATTTTGATGATTTACTATTCGATAGTTGATGTTCAGAAGCGATAACAAGGAAATGATGTAATGTTACAGGTGAGCCATAGTGTGTTTTTACGTGGTACAAGAATTTTTACGGAAGGCTTGTGGAAAATTTTTTTAAATTCACAATGTAAAGTTATTGAATACTATTCTGAAGTCAAAGAAACATTTGTATTTTATTAATCACACTTTTCGTTAAAAGCTTCGTTTTCGAAAAGTAAGTTTTTGTCTTCCTTATATTCCTACAAAATTTTAATCTTCTTTCACAAATATAAATAATAAATAAATAAAAATAAAAGAGTCATTCATTTCTAGCGTTATCATATATTTGGGTTATTATATAGCTAAACTTATTTTTTTTTAAAAAAAAGACTGAAAAAGAATAAAGGTGAAAAGAACTTTATTATTGTTGCATAATCGAGTCATTACATTAAGTTACTTATTATTATGTTGCGTTTGCTAAGCAAATAATACATAAAAGTGAAGTAATGTTATCTGTTTCTTACTCGAATAACCCCTCATGTCTAAGAATTTCTCGATAATTTTGCCAAAGAAATTTTATAGCCATTTCAGCTGATAAAGGTGTATCAACTATATTAACTTTCATCAGTTCCATTGCGTACTCTCTTAATGGTTCATTTATTTGAAGTTCCACATGAGCCGTCCTGATTAAATAACCTATGGACCACATATCAACGTTTGTATCGTGGAAATCTTTAAAAACCTCCGGAGAATGATTCGATTTATCTAAGTGTCGAACGCCAGGCGCAGGATAATTGGCTGCATCTTCGAAATCGATGATAAACCACATGTTACGATCAATATATTTTAATACATTTTCCCATCGGATATCCCGATGAATATATCCTATTTCATGAAGAATCTGGAAATGGGATGTTTATGTTTAATTCAAAAAAAATCAAACAATTATATAAACGAAGAAATATAAATACCTTTAGAGCTGATAAAACACAATATAAAGCAATTACCAGTTGCTTCACCGAATTTGGTCTGTGTATCATGCCCTTTGGTGAAAAAATAATATTTGGCACCTTTCCATTATCTCCCTTGTTAATGCTAACTATGTAATCAACGTAAGGAACTTGTCTCTGATCCATCTCACGGTAAATTTTCTCAAGTTTCTCAGGAAAATCCGCTTTGCTAGAGTAGCGTTTCACCACCACATTTTGCATTAGTTCAATAGTCTTTCCAGAATTTGGTCTATGAATTATATAAAATTCTTTGTGGAAAGAATCTCCAAGGCCTTTACGAATAAGAGGTAATAATCGACCAATGTTTCTTCCGATTACGAAAGCATTTATACGCCCAAGTAATGTTTTAAGATTGTAACTGACTAAATCTTTCCGATATACCCGATCACCTTCATTATGTAAATAACAGTAAGTCACATCGAAGCCACGAGCATAGTAACCGAATATGTAGGGGCTAGGTCCGTACGTCCATATTAACTTTGATGTCAATTCTTCTGCTGGATCGTTATCAGTGTTTAGACCTTTTTCTTCTCCTCTTACGAGGCAGGCACCATCCAACGTATATGAAAAGTCAGGACGAAACTTTTTTGTAGATGTGTTAGAAGACGAATTTCGATTATATTTTCCGTTAGGGCATGCAAGTTTAATAGGTTTTATGATGAGTGCATCCCAAAGTGAATGAAAAGAATCTTCGGTATTGCCAGTTGTTGGTGGATTAATTATACTAACGATATCGCTCATCACTCGAAAGGAGAACTCATCTGAACTTCTAAAAAGTTTATTCGAATCTCGCTCGGAAAGGCTTGATCGAATGTAAATTTCGTGTACCATCTTGGGAATTAAAATCTGTTTTGAAAACGGCTCTTGAAGCCAGTCTAGCAATTCAAAACGGCTTGGGATTTGTTCTGGCTTTTCCTCAAACATTTCATGAGTCGAAAAATATAACAAATTCTCTATTGGAAATAAGATAATAAGATTAGAGGTATGAATATATCTTTTATGCAAATTACTTTTTAACCTACCAACAGTGCGCTTGGTTTCAAATTCTGCGACGGGATCTATATATAAAGCAAGTGTTAGTAATAATAAAAGTTAAAGAATATAAAAAAAAGGTTTAGTCGTAGCACCACAAACAGTGTATAATATTATAACGGCAGATATTTTAACATACCAGCAGGTATATTCTTCAAGAATTCTTTTAAAAGACACAATCTATCTTCATCTGTCTTGCGGGAACTTGAGAGTGCAGAATACAATTCTGTTCTCTCCTCCCTACGCGTAATAATATAAGCTTGAAGCTTATTCGATTCTTCTCGTGGGAGTCCAAGACTATCAATAATTTCGAAAATATTTGACATGATGTTTATTGTAGATTTATTAGTTTGAAAAATGGAAACGATTGTCTTGAGAGTTTTATATCAGACTAATCGACTATATATATGTTTCGGAATAAACTTTTATTAAACTTCATTAATTATTTGAACGCGTTGTTTATTTGTTGATTGTTAGTTGAGAACGCGTTTTGTAAGTCCGATTTAATAAAATACATTCATTAATCTAATCATCTAACCATACCTAACATCATTAAAAAATCGAGTCATAGTGAAATATTTTGATTATACATATAATTTTTTCCGATGCCATACTTTATTAATAATTTAGAAAATGTTAGAGAAGCGAATGAAATGTATGATGTTATCAAAGAGGGAGGGAGTACGCGGATCCTAGGCCATTTAATGCGAGTCCAAGCATCAAGTTATTTCTTCGCTCTCTGAATAATTTCTATAACTAATTTGTTTCTATCATAATATTGCTATCTAGAAGTTTCTTACATTCTTATAATTTATCCCAATTATACATACAATATTTTCGCCTATCTATATCACTCTTTTCTCCCACACTCACATAAAATTGATACTAATACTATATTTTAAAATTATTAAAATTTTTAATAAATAAAAAACATAAATGACAAATTACAGTATAATGGTTATTATTATATTCACCTTCATTATTCTACATTATTGGTTAATTATAGAATTATTGTATTTACCTTCATCGAATTGATAAAATTTAATTTTTAGCAAACAAAAATGAGTATTATTAACGATAAGTATTACCTTCTAATGAGGAAGTTTTTTAGCATCCGAAATTGGCTCTCATGAAAAACGAGATTTTTTTTGGTGAAAATATTTTTTAATTTCTTTATTACACTCTACCTTCATATTACTATTAGACATTATTATAATATAAAAAAAAGTTTTGTTTAAAAAAAAAAAAAAATTATTTCAACCAAATTATCTTGTATAACGTAATGGTAATACAAATTGTTCAAGGTATGTAGATCTCACATATGAGGATTTCCCTGACATCACGGCATTTGACTGGAATTAATTGTGGCAAACATGTGACGTATAGTGGTGACAAATAGGATTTCACTACCGAAAAAATTCCAAGTCCCCATAACACTTAGTAAGAATGAAACGCGGAGGGACGTGACACCGGTGACAAATTATATTATGTGAATTTCGTGACATTTTTTAAAGGTTACGCAGTGGAAGTCGTATATGAGGCACAGCACTTTAAAAATAACCAATAGTGATAATTTGAATCGTTTCAAATTTCTTTAAAAATAATTAACATCATCACATTATGAAGATAAAAATTACGAGATACGGTTTTTTGGCATAGCGATGATCATTTATCATCTTTTTTGAAATTTGATTTTAAGATAAAAAGTCTTTAAATTATTGATATTTTGTGTATTGTAATGCAGTCCTCAGCTAATTGCATCTCTAGTTGTCTGATAAGTACGAACAATTATAAGTGATATGTGCATTTAAAGAGAGTGTGCATTTAAAGAGAAAATTTCTATATAAATTCTATATACTTGTGACTGAACGAGAACATGCATTTAGAGAGAAAATATATAGTATGTGCATTTAAAAAGGATGTATTTAGAGAGGGTTGACTGTAGATACTTTTACTTTCACTCTAATAAAATATTACTAATAATATTTAAATTAAAATGTAATTTAAATGAAAATAAATAATGAATATATATTAAAATATTTAAATATGAGAATAAGAAGATTTTTAGGATTTTTAAGCATATGATAAAATTGAAAATAAAGGTTTTGTTGTTAACTAAAATTAATTCATCTACTAAAGATTATTGATTAAATAATTAGAATTTATATCTGATTGAATTTGTTTAGAACTAAATCTAATAATGCAATGATATTTAATTGTTCTATAAAGTAAATTTATCTTACAAGTTTTGCAATATGTATAGTTATAATGATTTTCAATATCACAATTATAATCATATTATAAAATTCCTTTAGTTATTAATTGATTAACTATAGCTTGCTTAATTTTTATATTTCCTTTAAAAATATCTTTTAACTTATTTTTAAGACATTGATACCCTATTATAATTAAGAATGCATATAAATACTATAAAGCTAATTTTTCTTCTAATTCAATTTCTTTACATGATTTTTCAGATAAAATTTTATCATTTTCAGATGAAAAGATATACAATTCTATATTTTTATCAATATTTTTATCAATTGTAAACATAAAAATTTCTCTTAGTATTGTCTTATTCATAATTTGAAATTAAACAAGATAATGCATCATTATTCTATTCAGGTTTATATTGAACGTAAATAATAAAATCATATTACTATAATTCTATTATCTATCTTATATGATATCTTTTAGATATTTTAAAAATCATTAATTATTTGAGAATAGAGTAATCAGTTATAATAGTAAATAGTTTAGAGTTAAGATAATAATAAAAATTTCTGATAGCTCAAAACTACTACTAAGTATTTTTGATCTGTAATCAAATAATTTTATTTAGCATTATTTATACTTTTACTCATATATATAATAACATATTCAATTTTATTATTATCTAATTAAATAATACTTACTCTTAATCCTACTTTTAAGATATCAGTATAAAATATAAATTTCTTGGTAAAATCTAAATATTGAAGGATTAAAGATGTAATTAAATTCTCATTTAATTTATCTAAAAATTTTTATTATTTCTCAATTTAATTATATAGAATATTCTTCTTTAATATCATAATTATAGTTTTAGCAATTTAGAAGAATCTTTTAATAAAATTTTGATAATATAAAAATAATTTAAGGGATATTCTTAATTCAATTAGTCCTTGAAAGCTGAAAGTTCTTGATTTTTTAATCTTTTCAGAAACAGGCTGTAAACTGCTTTTTCTTATGATATGTTTAAGAAATAAAATATTTGAAAAGCAAAATTGATACTTTATCAGCTTGATCATCAAATTTCTTTTCTAATTGCTTTAAATACTATTTGTAAATGTTACAAGTATTTTTATAAGTTTTTGAATAAATGATAATATCATTTAAATATACTACTATAAACTTATAAAAATATTTTTATAGAAATGTTTTAAGAGCATTTTTCAATCTAAATAATATTCTTTGAACTCATAAAAATTATATTAATATATGAAGGCAATTTTCTTATAATCACTTTCTTCTATTTTTACTTATCAATATTTATTAGCAAGATCAAGCGTAAAAAACTAACTTACATTTCTAAATTTCTTAAACAAATTATCAATAAGTAAGAAAGAATAAGTATTTCCTTTGATTATAATATTAAGCTTTTTCTAATTAATATATATTTGTGTATTTCTAATTTTTTGATATAGAATTTTGCAGAAACTTAGTATTTTATAATCTAGTAATTAAGTGTTCATCACCTAAATATTTTCAAATTCATATCTATCTTATGATAATATTTTTTGCTAAGCTTTCGATAATATTTCAATAAAGTTTTGATGAAAATCAGTCTCAAAATAATGACGAACTTAAATAACAATCTTTAAAAGATAACAATTAACATCAAAATCAATTAATAGAGAAATTTATGTGATATATCTACGAGTATACAATGATAAGTTAACTAATTTACTTAATTTGATATTTTTTTTTATTTTTATTTTTATTTTTTTGAAGTGCTAAGAATTTGTGAAATTAGATTTAAATATAAAAAAGAATCAAATTTAAGCTATTTTCAATATAAATATAAGTAATAAAATTAATAAAGTTTTGTTATAATAAAATTATAATGATAAGCAATAAAAATTAATAAAATTCTATTATTTGTAAATTATAAATAAAAATTTTCATTAAAATATTAATATTAATAATAAGGTTAAATTATTATTTGTCTATGTCAAATATATTAAAATCACAAATTGCTAGTAAAATTTTTGCCATTTTGCAATGGTACAGTAATAGTTTTTGTTAATTTATCTAAAGTTTTATATCTTCAATATTTCTTTTTCATAGTTAATCACAAATGCATATTAGTTATATAAATATGATAATGAATACTGAGCTCTTAATTCAGTCATATTTATGATATTTAGCCAATGACTTAACACTTAGATTGTAACAGATTCATCTACAAATGTGATAATTTTATCCTTTTGTAAAGGGTTTATTGCATTTTTATAATTGCAAATAAAATTAATATTAACCTAAAAATTAAAGAAAAACTATAACTTATTTGCTAACCATGATCTTTTTTCTTTGAATAATTTAATTAATTCTATAATACTATTGACTAATTTATTATGAAAATTACTAAAGTTCTTATTAGTTACTCTTATACATTCAATACTTTTGGCTGAATTTAAGTTATACTTGAAAACTTGGCATACTAAATCTTGAATTGAACCTTTTAAAGGATGTTGAATGCAAAGGAAGAGATATTTCAACTCTTCTAAAAAGTCACAATAAGTCATCTTTTATTACATAATTTTATTAGGAATTTAGTTTTTCAGTTCACTTAATATTTATATTTTTCAGCTTTTCTTTCAAAAACTACTTCTGCTTTATAGTTAATTGAACTTTAAATAACTTCATTAATATTATCAAATTTATTAATAGTAATATATCATACTAAATCTAATGCAATTATGGATCTTATCCTATAAATCTGAATTCTTTATTACTGTAGGTGGTCTTTCTGAAGTGGTATATTTTTTTACAATTCTTTCTTCTAGTAATTTTTTTTCTTTGTTACAAGCTTTGCTTATACTTCAGCATAATGCTTCAATTTTCTTAATTGTATACTTTGTTTTAATACAATTTTTTGCTGTTCAATAATTTGTGATTAATAAATCTTTTAATGAACTATTCGTGGTAGTTTCTAATGCTTGTTAATAATCAGATATATTCTTTGTAGCTAAATTGATCTACTCAGCTGTATTATATTATGAAATAGCATTTTTTGATATGATTATAGTATTAATTAAATCCTGTATTGCAGTAAATGTAATGA